GTCCTGTTTCAGTTGCACATTATTGACCTGTACCTGTAGCCGGATGGCATTATGTTAAAGCAGCAGCTGATTGTGTTGTTGAGGTTGCAATCTGAGTATAATGGCCTTAGAGTCTAATTCAGAGAGGTTGGGTGAGGGACAACGTTATTTTAATGTCAAGTCTCAAAAAAAACAACAAATTTATATTATGTTTCTTTAGTTTTTGTCAAACTCACATTTCGTAATTTGAATTCCCTTCTGTTAGGTTTGCAGTGCATTGAGCTCTCAGTGCCTGAAGAGCTGATTTCTAATTCAGACATCAGTGGCTGCCAATTTTTCCATCTGTAATGAATGAATTAATAAATAAACACAAAACACTGACTGTCTGTGTGTAGCTGATATGATGAGGTAAATATGTGTCATTGCAATTATCAGGTAAAAATGTTTTGAATGAGTTTTAACTACTCTAAATCTCTAAATTCAGAAAAGATTGAAATAAATTTGGTATGATGTTTGGCATGATGACATTCAGTCAGTGGTAATGAATATAGAGGCATTCCTGTGGAAACTATGAGCTCATGACTGGGAGGGTTCAGCAACTTAAGAGTCCAGAGGCACGGGAACCACGAGGGCCGTGACATGTGTGTGTGAGGCACAGATGTCAGTCAGGCCCCTTTTCAACAGCAAATGATTCAACTCACTTTTGGCCGACTTCTCTAATCTTTGCTCTTTGTGAGGATTTAGAGTGTCTGATGATTTCACCTCCTGCTACTTGTGTTTGTGGATCCACTACACACATGATGCTGAATAAAATGAGACCTTTACTGTTTTAGTTGTTTAAGAATTTGCATGTATTGGTTGAAATGATTTAGGGTGGAGAAAGTTTGGTGCTTTGGTGTTGGTGTGTATCATTTGTCATCATATTTCTAATGATCCACTGTCTCTTAGCAACTCAACCAAATAGTTGGATATGAGTTTCATCTAAGTTCACCAGAAGGACAAGGCCTCTCTCCGCTGCATATAAGGCCTCAGTTGAGCCTCAATTTTACTCCTCTGCAGACACGTACATGCAAAATAGTTGTTCTTATTATACTTCTTGGACCACAACAAATTGATGGATACGCTGTCGTCCGTACAGAATATAAAAAGAAAATATATGGAGATGGCGGCGTTCTTCATATCACCACAGAGTAAAGAAACACATGTGATCATCCGGAGCATGAGCCAGATCAACGTTTTTGTTAGAAATGATTTGATGTCTAGAAGGCCACACCGCTCACAGTAGAAATAATCAGTTGTGTCAGGATGTGTGATAATAAATCTCGGATTCACACTCTGTGGTTTGTGAGACTTTATCACAGGAATCTCCACCACACTGGAGCATTTTGGAAGCAGACATTGTAACACCAGCAGACTGGAGGGTGTATGAGGCTTGTGCGAACACCATGGACGCATAGTTGCTTTTAATATACTCCGCTTGAGACCTTGAGACACTTTCTATACATGCACAGTGGATTGATGTCTGCTACACACTTAGTCTGCACAATTCAACTTCTCATTCATTCACTCTCTACTTTTGTATATAATATTTATTCATAAAAATTCTTAAAATAAAGTTTTAGCTTATCTTATCTTATCTTTTGTGTACAGTTGAAATTAAAGTACTGGATCAATACTATGATATAATGATGATTTCCAGTTCTGCCATGAGGGCTGAAAAGTAAGCAGCAGAGGTAGTACAAACGTTTTTAACATCTCCTTTTAGAAATGTGCCACAACTCTCACAAACTTTTACTGTCGTCTGTTGATGCCTCTGATGAAAAAAAATGTGGACTCTGATCTTTTTTTTTTATAATTCACAAGTGCATGAGATGCGCAAAATAAGGCAAGAGACAGGAAAATATATCTGTTCTGGTTGAGCCACATTTAATGTAATGGGGAGTTTCACAGCACAGAAACAGCATCGTCTCATCTTATCCTGACTTTGGACATAAACTGAGGAACTAAAAGCTGCTCGCAGAGACTTTCAGAGTTTTACAGATAAAACGAGGGGTTCTTTCACAATACCTCAAAGATTCAGCAGTCAGTCATCTGGAAATGTCCATCACACCTTTGCATTTACCAAGAGTGAACCATCACTGGAGAAGGCATCATGGTGTCCCTCTTTCTCACTGGAAGACAGGATTACTCACTCCTGATTTAGATTATAACTCCCAGTTTTTCCATGGGCCGTAACTAGATACGCTTTGCAGCTTTTATCTGGAGCTGTGGCGATCCAGGCAGTGGCCTCAGTGAGTAGGCATGTTCAAATGTACCTGTTGTCCCCCAGAGGACTGCATGTGTCCAGGACAGTAGAGTGGTTTTTCTCAGAAGTGGCTGTGCAATATGGATGGACTGTGTTTTTGTAAAGGTCTGCATTTTCCCCCTGTGCCATATTTCTGTTTAAGAGTCCCGCTAAGTATCCAAACAAAGCTGTGAAACATGGATTATTGCAACAGATACATCTGACATGTGTTACACTGACCTTTTTAAGCAAAAGGATGGCGGTCTGCATTCATAGCATGCTGTACACAGACAGGATGCTTCACAGCTCTTATTTTTAGGAGATGGAGTCAGCGAGCTACCTCCTACCTGCCTCATGCAAGTCAGTTGAGTGTTGAGGAATGCATAGCTGGCTTTTTTGTCACAGGATAAGCCTCTGTGACAGGTCGCTATTAAAATTGTCGTTCTAATGGCTTTGGTTTCAAGTCTGGCCTGGACATACGCACCCAGACACTTAAGTGAAGGTAAACACATGGATCACACTGAGCACATTGTCTGCTAGATTCTATGGATAATTAGTTAGTGGTGTCAGTGTTTGGGTTTGGTCGTCTGTGCTGATTTAAGCCAGATGTGAAAAGGCCCTGACTTTACATCACCCTAGCTGAAGTTAAATGTTATAATATTTGAAGTTGTTCACGTTAGCCCAAGACATACAACAACACAATTTCTCAATTTCCTTTATCGATATCAATAGGAAAACTTCTTACTTTGAAAATAAGTGAACATGAACCATTTTATTCAGAGAACACTCTATCTATCTATCTATCTATCTATCTATCTATCTATCATTACCACTTTGTTATTACCACCTTTAGTACATGGAAGTTTCAACCATTATTAAAAAATATAAGTATTTTGTGAATTTTGGTCGGTTTTGACGTTTTATCATTGAGGGCAGCTTGAGACTATGAATAGCAGAAAGCGTATGAGACCCCTCTCTGGCATGTGCCCCAGACTGGGCCTAACACGCGACAAATAAACATTTTCCACATGCTGAGGTCCTGGTTTCTTCTTCCGAGGAAGTGGCTGTGGAGAGGAGCGAGGGAGTGTGAAGGAGGGTCACCATGGCTCAGGGACGCCCCTGCACCCCCACAACACCATATAAGACACTGTGAAACCCGAGAGCTGCTTTTAAAAGTCTCTTCCTCAAGCTGTGAACATTCAGATACTCTCACTTCAATTTGTGCAGACACGAGCTCTAAGCTTCTCCCCCCCTGTTCTCCCCGTTTAGAGACCAGTAGTGCAGGGAGGTGATGAATAATATTTCACAATGGCATTCAGAGCTGGGATCAACTCATAACACCAAGAAATTCATCCATCATTTGCAGCTGGGAAAATCTTCACAGTGTAGACACAATAACACAAAACTGTTAATGTGCTGAAAAGCGGCTTGATAAATCAAAGTATGTTGATAAATTAGAATTTTTCATTTTTAAACAAAGCAACCTGAAGTTTTCTGCATTTCTGAGTCAGTGTGCTGTCTAAAATATACGATCAATAACAAAGCTGAACATGCAGTAATACTTTAGAATGGATGCAAATTACAGCAGGATTACAGCGGGGGAGCTGACGGGCTTGAGAAAGGTCAAGCAGTTAGACTTGTGTAGAGAAACAAAAAACCAAAAGGATGACAGCTCTTCTATTTCCTCTGCTTCATTGGCAGCATCTCGTCCAAGTCGTCTTCCAAAGGTTTTGTGAGTCGGTTATAACCAGCTCTGCCCTTCTTAGACGTCTGTCTGGGGACAGCTGCTGCAACGACCACAATGTTACAGCCCCATTGGCACCTACTTTATGTCACACTATGACGAAAAATAGTGTTTTTCATTCTAAAATATTACATTTATTACTTAAGTTCATCTAATCATTTTGTCACAAGTAACAAGAGAATTTAGGAAGTTATTTATTTCTGTGTGTTGCAGCACATGGTCAAAGTTCAGGGTTGTAAATAGTCACGTTTTTCGCAACATGTGACTTTTTGAGGCATCTGAGAGGAGAGGTTACATTTACGTGCTTTGCCCCCTCGGCTGCTCGTGACTGCACTGCCACGGGTAACCTCAGTGGGACAGTTTTATTGGTGTATCTGGTTATGATGCAAAGGGCAGGCACATGACGAACCTGCGGGTCAATGGGGAACACAAGAAGGGACATGGGCGAAAGGAGCACTTGAAGAAAAGGAAACTAAATGATGAAATTAAATTCTCCTATGTATTATGAAACTGAAAGTGTTTTTGAAATCAATATTACATTGAGCCATCGGATACGACGTAAGCAGACAAATCAACAAGCATGAAAACATCTGCTGTCACTCTTGTGTTGTTTATGTGTCTCTCTAGTCAATAGTGTCAAAACAACATGATTCACAGAAAACAGACTTTTGCAAAAACCCAAAATAAGTAGATAGTTTGGCTCAAAGCCTCCAACAAACATTAATTTGAAACATAGTCTCCTCTTGGCAATTTGTAGCGCTGATATACACATGGTTGTTTAGATGTTGATGTGGTAAGATTTCTCAAGCAAGATGCAAGGAGAACAATTTTTGTCAACAGTTTTTATGATCTAGGGGTGGGTGCAGTGTCAGTGGACAAGTGCCTGCACAGTGGGAGGAGCTGCACAAGGGCCATTCATTTCTAAGCCGAAGTCACTGGATATTAGGCCCCAAAAATAGCCCAACAGAAGGTATATAGGGGTCCTGTCCAACTTGCCCGGTCAGACGACGGTCGTGTGCAGCAGCAAACATACTGTGCATACAAACCATTTCAAGTCAAGTCAAATGGGAGAAATTCACAGCAAGAAAAGAGAGGAGGACACAAGCTAAAAGAAGGGGACTGGGACACAGTGAAGAGAAGCAGAGGATTTGTTTAAATGATGCAGAGTGAGTGACAGCCGGGGCAACTCCAGTCTGGATAAATAAGGAGACGACAAAAAGGACACACAGCAAAGGATACTGCTCTTTTTTAATTGGATTGGTGCGTTTCTCTTGGATTTCTCACTTCCCTCCTCCTGGACTGACAGCAGAGGAGGAGGCAGAGCAGCCGCAGTGATGAAGTTCAACTACCATGTACCAGTGTCAACGTACACACGCGCCTCACAGTACACACCGACCTACCAAACACCCAGCTACTACACTCCATCAAAATACACACCAGCGCAGTACAAATCCTCATACTCATCCATTGCAAAGTACACCCCAACGCAGTACAGCACAACACAGTACACACCATCACACATCACATCCACTTACAAAACTGCACCAACATACATCCCTTCATATACCAAGGAGCCACGGTACCGTTCAACACGTCGCACGCAGGCACAGGAGCCTCCTGCACCTGTCATACCGGCCACACCTGCAAAGAGAACAGTGCACTTCCCCAATGACATCATCTTCCAGGATATTGTCAGACGGGGAGATCTGGAGCAAATTGGTCGGTTCATGAGGGCGAGGAAGGTTCGTGTGGATACAATCTTCCACTCAGGTCAGTTCAATTCCCACAGATTCTACTTAACTGCAGCAATATTCCCAGGAGACATTCGGAACCCCTATAAACTAATCAGATGCAACATTAGAGGACTCATCTATTTGTGTGCAGGTATGGCAGCGCTGCATGAGGCCGTGCTGACAGGAAACATGGAGGTGGTGAAGCTGCTGGTGAAATATGGCGCTGATATTCATCAGAGGGACGAGGACGGCTGGACGCCTCTTCACATGGCGTGCAGTGACGGCTACCCAGAAATTGCTCGGTAACATGTCACTTTTTTCACTGAGTATTCAGCATATTCTGTACTGTCATTTCTGAAAAGCTAAATAAAGTTTGATTCTAACACAGTGTAGAACTATTTAGTTTGGAATATGAAACCAAAATACTTTGACTATAAGAATATATTCTTTGACATATGGTGGTTGGAAAAATTCACAGATCAAGAAAAGATTACTTAACCAGTCTGACTAGAACAAAACATATCTGTATTTTAATAAGGGTAGTTTTAATTTAAATATTGGCAGTATGAGTAAAAAAAAGCTTAATGAGAAGACATTAATGAGACAGTGACAATTGAACCATCACAATACACAAAACATTGTTTTCAGCATAAAGCAAACCAGGGTAGAGAATATTTAAGACCCAAATATCTGGATGTTTTGTTTTATTTATAGCCATAGAAAGAAGTGATGGTCATAAACTGATCCACAATATTTAAAGCCGCTTCAATAGCAATGACTTATGACATTTCATCTTACTCTAAAGTCTCTGAGTTATGACTGATAGTGATAAAACATACTGAAGAAGATCAGTTGAACAAATGATAAATAATCTCATGCCTACATTTTTTAAGAGAATCCCTCAATCCTTCAACAATCCTGTACTTTGCTCTCCACAGTTACCTGCTGTCGATAGGAGCCAGCACAGAGGCGGAGAATGAAAACGGAGAGAAGCCGGCAGACCTCATCGACCCAGACTGCAAAGAACTGGCCAAACTGTTTGAGACTGGCTGTGTGTGACTTACCACCATATGGACCCAAGAGGAAACAGCAACAGAGACGACAGAACGATGAGCTCAGGCCCACAGACGAAAACACTCAGGCCACAATCACTGATCCTGTAAAGGAAGATGTTGGGTCTGTTTGTTGGTGTAGGACACCTCCTTTCAAGATTGTTTTTTATTATAGCTGTGAAGCAATATTCAGTTAAGCTGCCATTTGGTTTCTGGTCATATTTATACTTTATTTTGTGAATTTGTTTAAGTGTCTGTGATATGTCTGTATTCTTTACTCACATGTCATGAACCAAAAGGTCAAAAATGTGTCACTGAAATGTCGTCTTGACATGTGATGTATAATCCTCTCTGAAAAAATTTGATTCGTTTCTTGCATATTTTTCCGCACTGTATCTGTGTTAGTGTTTAGCAGTTAAGTAGGTTGCACTGCGCTGCCTCCGTGTTGTATTAAATCTGCAGCACAGAATTGGGGACGTAAGAAGTTGGTGTCTTATACAAAGAGTTATGTATCTTCACTGCTGGGCAGAGAGAGGATCCACATTAATAGTTAATACTTCACAGATATGTCAGTAATAAAAGAAAAAGATTATGCTGCACAAGCACTTCTTCTGTTGCGGTATTTCTTCCCTAATGAATTGCTGGTGTTTTCTGTAGTAGAAATACAATTATCAGCATTGAAAGTCTTATAATTGTCTCTACAATAATTATTTTTGTACATTTTCATAAAATAAAGAAACCTTTTATAAATATTTGACTGACTTGCAAGTGTGTCTGTTTAACAACTATCACATCGAACTGAACGCTACAGAGGAACAAAAATGTTTTGCTCGCTCAGCTGTTCATTTTCAGGTGCTTTTAAATTGTAATGCACGGAAACACAAGAGATACAAAAAAGAACATCATGACATCTGACATGAAATATATTCTAAACTGTAGTTCACTTATTTCTTTTTAACTTTTTG